TTTTTCCTGGATAGTACAAATTAATATTTGTAAAGTAAGTAAATTTGCTGATTACGTATATCAATCTATCTTGCGCCATAGACTTGGGGAAGAATCTGATATAGTTCATGACAAGTAGGTGGGGCGAGCGTTTATTGACAAGAACCTGTTTTGTCGATTGACAAGTGAAGAAAAGAGGATAAATCATTTCTTCATTTCTTCCCTTTTCTTCAGTCTTCATAGGTCCCCTTATATTCAAGGAAAAAAACAAACTCCCAATTTGTACCATGTACGAATCAATAGTCTTATATGTGGCTTCAATTTTCAATCTCCAACGTCAATAATGTCTTGATTACATATATACGGTATTGTTTTGATGATTGGAGATGGTAATTATTAAGAATAATGCGTTTCAATGGCTATCTTTCTTTCTTCTTTTTTTTTTTTTCCCCCTTTTTTATGAACGCATTTATGGCTATGATGATTATTTGTTGCACATAAATATATTGTAGAGTGGCTCAGATGTTTAATTTGGTGTGGAACCCATATCCTCATACTTCTTCCTTTTATATTTATTGATGATGCATGTGGATGCAGTGCCTCCAAAACCTGATTGCGATGTAACTAATGGAATTTACCCTAGATAAAATGCCAAAACCAATTTTTTGTGGCATGTCATGACCTTGAATGGTCCCCCATTTTTGCAGCACCATTTCCCAACTTTATGTTTTTGATCGATCGGATTCATTTCGCATTGTACCTTGCACTGTCCGGCTAGCTAGCTGGCTGCCTCCTTCCTCCGTGAACCACCGGCAGTGGAGGGGCCACCACCCCCTTAAACTTCAACGGTCCCCTTAAGTATATGTATGTATAGCAAGAGCAATGATGATTTCAAGTACCGCTTGTCCGCCAATGGCACCTCAAAGAGGAAAACAAAAAATCTAATGGAGATTCAAATTTATCTGTAAGGCCATTGGTTGTACGATGTCATTTCAGACCACACATGTTTATTCACTACTTTTCGATATGTAAAGCAAAGACACCACTTATCATTGCTATTTTTCATGTTATGTTTAAAGGAATGTAAAATAATATGTATATATATCAAGTTGTCTCTACATCAAATTCACATTTAAGATGGTTACTAAATAGAAAGCATTTATATTCTTATAGATATAATTTATAGTTAAATATGAAAGTTTTTAAGTTACAATATCAAATTTCAATCTTATAGAGATTTAGAATAAGAAAAAAATGTGTCCAAATCAATGAGTCAATGATTCATTTTCAACCACATAAAAAGATAGGAAAAAGCATTTGATGATTTCCATATAATGTATAGTTGCCGTTTGTTGTTTTTCTCATACACAATCAAAGTTCCTAAAAGTAGCATGTAGTACATTGCTAGATTGTACCAGGCAGAATCTAGCACCTAAAAGGCTAAACCTTATCTTCCTATATTGGATCATTTCCAAAGCTCAAATTTTAAAAATCTTAGTTTGGAACTTAGGCCCAACCCATTCCACCCATTTGGATTTTGAAGTTTGAAACCAATTCAACAAGGGTGAGTTTGGATCAACGGGCCCAAATGATTAAAACGAACGAAACTGAACTGAAAATTTCTGACCAGTTGGCGGTGACTTCAATGTCTAAGAGCACGTCTTCTTCCCGAACCAAGATCTTCCTAATGAAGTGCAGAAAATTCTTCTCAATTCCGATCCTTTCGGTGCTTATTTTGATGGGTTTTGTTTATTACATCACAGTTTTCGTTTTTATTCATGATTGGATTGGGTTGCAGAGCTCAGCTAGATTCTTAAATGCCATAATCTTCACTTTCTTGGCTTTCCTCTGTCTCTTCTCCTTCTCCGTTTGCGTTCTCACTGACCCAGGTCATGTTCCTGCTTCTTATGTCCCTGATGTTGAAGATGCTGCTACCTCCAATCAAAAACTCGCGAAAGATGTGAGTTTGTATGCTTATATGATTTAAGGGTATATGTTTTATATGTAAAGATGAAATCTTTTGCTTCCATTTCTATGTAATTCTGCTTTCATTTTTTATTTAGAGCTGATTAACAATCCAGGAATATTGGATTTCTTTAATTCTATGGATTCGGTTTGGCTGATTAGGAAGCTAATAAAGAGAGTAGAAACTGAAATTTTGATCCTATGAGTTTTTGTGTTTTCCTGCAATTTGTTGATAATGAATTATTCTGTTGGAGAACAATTTGAAAGTGTTAGCAGATTTCTTTAGTCAAAATAGCTGTAATGATTGAATTTCATTAGATTGTCTAATCTTTAATTTAAGTTGGATTGATAACTCAGGCTAATGGTGTTCAATTGAGGCCCTGTGACAAGTGTTCCACTTACAAGCCCCCTAGGGCTCATCATTGCCGGGTTTGTAGAAGATGTGTGCTACGGATGGTATAAAATTATTCTTGCAATCTTTCTATGAGAAGAATTCTGTTTTTCTTTTTCTTATTTGGCCCCAGAATCACTTATTCTTCCTATTCTGCTGCAGGATCATCATTGTTTGTGGATAAATAATTGTGTTGGTTACTGGAATTATAAGGCATTTTTTGTTCTCATATTTTATGCGACCATGACAACCTTGTACTCTGTAGTATGCATCTGTGCTCCTTCCTTATCTTACTTTAGTGCTACTGTTTTGGTTCAAGTTCTAACAGAAGCATGATATTAGGTAATTATTATAGGCTGTGCATGTCAAAAGGACAGTTACCAAGGACAAACCCCCCTCAAAATTTTCTACGTAAGTGACTGTTGATTATGCATCTAAAAATTCTACATTTGAATTTGTTGTTAACTGGTTTAACCGTATCAATAATCAAGTTAAGGTATATTTTTTGCTGAGTTCGCCTTGGCTGAAACTTGTAGTGAAACCACAAATGTTGATTGTATGTCATATGATCTTCAGGAGATGATAGAAATATACTTCTACTAGCTTTCTGCTCTTTGATCACTTTAGCAATGTTGAAGTTGTCATGCTTCCTAAGTCATTACTCCTACATAATGACTTCAGGATTTTTTTTTTTTTTTTTTTTTTTTTTTTTTTGTGTATACTCGATTGTAGTTCTTCAGCTTCTGCTATTTTTTCTTTATCTTTCCCCTTTTCTTTTCAGTCCTACTTTGAAATATTTAAAATTGAAGGTATTAAGTATCTTGTTGTAGATTCTTTGTGGAACCATGATGATTGCATTATCTGTGACACTTGGGACTCTCTTAGGTTGGCATGTCTACCTAACTGCTCACAATATGACAACCATAGAGGTAAACTATGATGAGTTCATGGAGCTGGATGAACTTTGAACCACTGAGGTAGTTTCTGCATAGTTTTTTAAACATTATTAACCTGAGCCTTTTGCCAGTATTATGAAGGAATACGAGCAGCGTGGTTGGCTAGGAAATCTGGGCAAAACTATCGACATCCATTTGATCTTGGAGTTTACAAAAATATTACCTTGGTATTGTTGATTTAATCATCTTGATCCTTGATTTCTTATAACTTTAATCTATCACTGGGTAAATTCTTCTGCCTTTTGATCAGGTATTGGGTCCCAACATGCTGAAATGGTTGTCTCCCTCATCACTTAGCTATCTAAAAGACGGAACTAGCTTCCTCACTTCACGTGATAGTTCATAATACCCATGTGGCTTTACTCTAGTGACATTCCCACTTGTTACTCAGAAATGAAGGACTTCGGATGTTCATCTTATCATGTTGTTCTGATGGCAGAAATATGGACCGCCCCAGGTGAGTTTTTGGATTGGTATTTGTGTTACATCGATAGCCAGATAAATCAATATATACATCCTCCTTTTTTTCTTGCTACCCTTTCGGTGTTATCATAGTTACAACTCATGGTAGGATGTAGGAAATGACATTATGATTTGTATATTAATTCTTTTTCATGTAATACATACGTTAGTTCATGTATGGTAGCACAACTCAAATGATAGAAATGACACAAATAACACAAAAAAGTAGTTTACTAAAATCTGTCCTCTTTGAGTATTAAGTTCTGTCAATTCATTTTGAGTAGGATTTTTGGCAATAATTGAACTTAATCTCTTAATCAAATCGTTGTGATTTACACGTGGATTGCAGCAGGTATATATCCCTTACTCTAATGAAGATTAAGGACATACTCATAAGATTCAGGCTAAAAGTATTTAGCATTGTAAGATTCCATGAAAAAGGTTTATGTATAGTTTGTCCATACAATTGTTTATGGTTTATTGAGTCACTAAGAGTAATTGGTGGGGGCATGTAGTTTATATAAACAAAGGCTAATGCATCCTCCTTTTTCTGGTCACCAATTATGATGTTTATAAATCATTAATTGATAACAGCAAATTGCACTTAAAAACACTTGATCCTCAAAGATGGGATGGTGCGTTTTGACGTAGCAGCAGCACAACAGCCATCGTTCTTTTTATCTTTTTCGTTTAATTAGGGGTTCTGCCGCATGAGATAGTCATCTCCCTTTTTTTTTTTTTTTACAAAATTCTTTCATCATCTTGAATTTTCAATCAAGGCAGTCACAGCCTCTGCATTAATGGAAGTTACTGATACATTTGCTGTATTCTGTAGTGATAAAACGTTTATATTCACTTTTTTGATTTCATCTTCTCATGCGCTTATGCTTGCTATAGTCCTGAAGCATGACTTACATGTGTGATGTGTTAAGATTTTATAATTTAGATGATTGAATTGTTGTCACCAAATCAATCATGCAGTGTGACGTGGGGATAAGCACAAGTGTTTTGTTTTGTTTTTTTTCTTTTTTGTCTATGGATTAAATGATTAAGAGACGAAAACCTTTGATTTATACATATACTATGATGATACGGGAATGGCCTCTGGCCTAGTTTGGCTCATGATTAGGGTTGGTCAAAAGTTTTAGAGCCGAGAACCAGTCCTTGATCCCGTACTACAAGCCGATTATGGGTTGGGATTAATGTAAATGGGATCAAGATTCAAATCAGTTCTAGAACCAGTCATGGCTCGATTGAAGATCAGCGAGGATTAAATCGTTTTTTAAATCTGTTGCAGATTAAACATCATAACGAGCCGAGTAAATCATATAATTTTGAATTGAAAAAACATTGTTATTAGTCTATTTCCCTACATTAAAAAAAAAAAAATGTAAACCAAGGCAGTTAGACTTGGATTCGAACTGGAATCAAACCAGGATTTGGAACTAGATCGGTCTTATATCATATACGCAGCCAGTTGCGGTCCGTGGCTTTACAGAACTGGGATCGCTGGTTCCTACCTGGTTGCTATATCACTAAGGTAACGGATTAACTTGAAATTCGTCAAAACGAGAGGGACAAAACATGAGACAATTTGGTTAGGTGGTGGGGGTTGATTGTATTGATTTTAAACACATGGAAGCTGCATCACTGCCACATATAATGACTAATTTGCTGTTGCATGTTGCTTCTTATCCATATGCTATTTTTTTTTTCCCTGAATTAATCATGCAAATCTTAAATTGAATGAGACATTCAAATTAACTATACAGGGTGAGGAAAGGGGGAGTGGATGATGATCAGATTCCAAAATATAAATGCCCAAACAAATAAGTTAGAGAAACAGTCAAAATTCAAATAAAAAATGGAGAGCATATTTTCGGATGGTTAATGGAGTATTGATATTAAAGCACAACTTGATAGTTACCATGTTTTATTTATATAATGTCTTGCCAATTGTAAGACGTTTTGGTGATAAACTTAAATATATAAGAAATCATCCTTCAATTATGAGAATAAAGAATAGTTAAGAGATTTGTTCGTCACGTTTTTTTTTTTTTATTAATTTTTTGATATTCGATAATTACATTGGTTCTAACTAATCTAAAATAGAGTCGCATCGGATTCCATTACGGGAAAATTTTCATAACGTTTATTTTTTTATTCACAAGATTTGAATTCGAGATTTTGTTTAAAAGGAATTGAACTCCTTCCATTTAGACCAATAGGTCGTTGGTTGTTGGACACGTTATTCATACAACAATCTATTACCTAAAAATTGATTCAAAGTAGTTTATTGTCTTCTAATCCTAATGTGGATGACAAATCTTTCATCAAATCGAGGATACTAATCTTAAGGATTAGAATTGATTAATAAAGTTAGATTTCTGCTGTTTTCTTTGAATTATGTTGAGAGAGTTTCAATGGAAGCAACCAGACATAACCGCTGTCTTATCCTTTGAAGCAGTGTATGTGTATAAGCAATGAGATCGTTTCCTGTTTTGAATTTAACAATATTGTTTTTATTCAAATTCGTAACATTTTCTATCACATCCTCCACCCATTTTCCTATGATATATTTCTTTCAGAAGGAATGCACCAATACTAAAAATAACTGAATTATTGGAACATTTGCACATGAAGTTGTGGGAAGTGGAAAATCAACAATGCAATTATGTCTCAAATGACATTAAGGTGGACACATTAAACAGATCAAGAAGACACATTGAATTGCCATTTTTTTATCGTGTCTATTTCAGATCCAATCCACTGGCTGATTTTTGTTTGATTTTAGTAGCCTTGATTAGAGGAAAAACGTGTAGGCAATTTCACTGGACAGTCATTTACGGACTGTAAACCAAAACAAAATATTCAAACCTAAGCGTCCTGTTCATCATCAATCATATTTCAAAATTATACGTGGGGTTTTTGCTGCTTTTATAAATAAAGAAGAGGTGGATGGAAGACACCATTCGGGGAAAGTAGTTGCTGAGTTCATAGTTCCTCGGTTTCCAGCTACTTCCGACTTTCTGGCTAATTTTTCCTTCTGTCTCACGGCACAGTGAGGGACAGAATCACTTCTTCTCCACCATATTAGTTTTCCAGAAAAAGGTGCAGTTTTTCTTTACTTTCTGGCTGCTGGGGAGTAACCCTGTAGTCATTTGTTCTTTGTTGTTCTGTTAATGTGTGAAGTTGATGTCTGGGTTTATGTAATTTCATTTGGTAGCAGAGAAAATAGGAATGAAAATTCGAGACAACCCTTGTCTTTCTTGTTTCTAAAACGAAGAAAGTTTTCAAACTTTTTTCATTTTCTTTTTCTCTGCAACCAAACAGAGCACAAAATACAAGAGTTCAATTTTGAAATCTTCAATTCTGTCTCTTTTGATTTTTTTTTTTTTTATGAATCTAGTCATGAACAACTGTATATAAATCTTAATCTTTTGTTATTTTCTCACAATTCATTCTATATTTCCAGGGGAATATAGAAACCTGCCAAAACAAGCCAATTCCTCACTAGGCATAGAAACCTTCCAAAACAAGCCAGCCAATTCCTTACTGGGTATGCAGTATGAACTTCAATCTCTTTACTTTCTACCTTGGAATCAATTTCTTCTCTTCTCATTTTAATCTTAAATTCCTGGATATTCATGGGTTTTTGTTAGAGAGAATGAAGAACTCTGTTTCGGATCATAGTTTTTACATTGAGAGTGAAGAGGAAGACGAGGAGAAGGCCTTCCACAACAATGAAGGTGAAGATGATCGACACGAGTTGGATTCTTCCGATGGGGAGTACGCAGCCCCCCCACAAAGACAACCCAGTTCCTACAACACTCAATGGCCTCAAAGTTACAGGTTCACCCTTTATGTGTCTGTCTTTTTGCTTCTGAAGCTCTCTTTTTGCTATGCTTCTCTTCACTTTCATGAGTTTCTTGGGTTGTTGGGTTTCTTATTATTCAAGGTTCTGTGGTTTCCATGGAGAAAGAACAAATTATAGAATAAATTTTAAGTTTTGAATATTTTCATTTGATAAAGTAGATGCTACATAGAAGGCCAAAGATTGATTAAGGGGAAATATTGTGGAGCTTAAGGTAGATCTTGAAGAGGGGAAGAGAAGTTGCAAGTGGAATGTTAAGAAAACTTGTTTTATATCTTATTATCTGGCTTCAGATGTTTATGTCTTCTAGTTAATGTTTCAGGCAGTCCATGGACCTGTATAGTAGTGTACCATCTCCTGGTATCGGTATTTTAAGTGCCTCTTCAGTTTCAAGAAGTTCATTTCTATCGAGAAGGCACACACCGGAATCATTATCTTCGGTATCAAAACCTCTGATAGCTGACCAAATACAGCAACAAAAGTCTAGTTCACATCTGCCCCCTCTCGTACCTTCGGGGAAGTCCTCTGTGAAGAAGGATGGGAAACCGTCAGCAATCTCTCATGAAGTTCCAATTGCTCGCCACAGCACATATGGACAAGCTGTGCTAAATGGTTAGTTGCACAATCAATTTGTTAAATACCCTTAATGAAACTCTTCCACTTTGCTAATTCATTAACTGTATTTTAGTAATTTCAGTGTCTGGACTACACATTTATTTGGGAAGAATATAACTGCTACACTAACTATGATTGTTAGATCAATCATTTAGCTTCTGACCTTAATTTTTAAATTGAACATCACTATGATTAAACTAGTGACACTTTTAGTCCATTTGAACAAAACAAAAGATGAGAAGATTAGCATCGAACATGAATGTCTGTAAGATGCCACTTGCCATGCTGGGATTGCAACAGCCACCAAGTCTAATCTTATGGCGGCCCCTTGGTCAGGAAGGGACCACACAAACCAATCTTGTAGCGAAAAGATATGCTGCCCACTCCTCTCTAATAAACTAAATTTGCTGTTTCTATCGTGTCATCATCACCTACCTCGCATGGCTTCAAGTTGTAGAGCTGTGGTTGGTTTTTCTGTAGTCTAGCTTTTAGTTTTTATTTTCCTCTCCTTTCAACTTACGTGGCTTTCTTGTCTTTACCGATAAACCAGAAAATTTTGTTTCATATTTGATTAAAAAATTACTTCCTGGATCCATATGTGCCTTGTTGTCATTGTCTGTAGTTCATCAATGTTATTGCTTACAAGTTATGAATATTAAAGCAAAAAGGCATTAAGCTCATATCTCAAATAACTGTTGGTGCGCATTTCCTGCAATATTGACGTGTCCCCATACTCATATGGAAGCTTATAGTTTTCATTTTTCTTCTTTCTAGTAGATTAAGTTGTACAACATATAAGGGAATCACCTTTTCTTGAAATGTTTGCGATAACTTTTTGCAGGCATTAATGTGCTTTGTGGGGTTGGAATTCTCTCCACCCCTTATGCAGCCAAGGAAGGAGGATGGTTTGGACTTCTCATATTGTTAGCTTTTGCAGTGATTTCCTTTTACACTGGGTTGCTGTTGCGCTACTGCCTGGACAGTGAACCCGGCCTTGAGACTTACCCGGACATTGGCCAGGCTGCATTTGGAACTGCAGGCAGGATTGCCGTATCAGTAAGTCTAGATTCTAGTCCAAGCATTGGTTATTAAAAGAATGAAAGGACTATTTTACAAGACAAAAAATGATGACTGATGGTCTGATACTGTCATTTTTGTGGTTGTTTTCTCGTGGTGCAGATAGTTTTATACGCCGAATTATATGTAAGTATAGCTGGCCCTGCTGTGTGAGTACTGTGTAGAGAGTTTGTTGATTAAAAACCCATTCCCCCTGTTTCCTGGGTGGACCCTTTCTGGGTATATTTGGTGTCATGACAAACGATTAGTTGAAATTTTATTAGGGACCACTGCAGGATTCCAGGGAGCCGTAATTTTGGACTTCTCTTGCCTAGATTCCAAAATATATTGCTCTGATTAGTCCACTCAGGATCTATAGAAAATTGATTCTCTCACGTCACATCCCAAAAGCTTAAGGTCTTCATGGAATTTATGAGCTTACATAAAAACCTATACGTTAATCACCAGCTTGGTACAGATAAAGTAGTGCCATTTTCACAAATTTTTTCATCATATTGAGGTTACTCTATAATTCTTCTTTGCAGGCTTGTTGTGTTAATTATATAATTCTGGAGAGTGATAACTTATCAGCATTATTTCCCAATGCACATATTAGTGTGGGTGGATATCTAATAAGCTCACACCGTTTATTTGCATTGATGACTACCCTTGCTGTTCTCCCAACTTGTTGGCTCCGAGACCTCAGCATACTTAGTTATATTTCTGGTAAGAATAATGGTCTGAAATACTTGTAACATGCTAAATCACACTGTTTGGGAATGCCTTAGCATGTTCTTTCACTATTTCCAGCTGGTGGAGTCATTGCATCAGTGTTGGTAGTGCTTTGCTTGTTTTGGGCTGGTTTGGTAGATAATATTGGTTCACACAACAGTGGGACAACACTGAACTTGGCTACTCTTCCTGTCGCAATTGGTCTTTATGGATACTGTTATTCAGGGCATGCAGTTTTCCCCAACATTTATAGTTCCATGGCAAAACCAAATCAGTTCCCTGCAGTCCTCTTAGCATGGTAAGACTTGAAGATTTTCTTGTATGCCAAACAAATAACTCTAAAACAAGTTCAAAACTTTCTCTGCAGTTTCGGAATCTGTACTTTGTTGTATGCTGGAGTTGCTGTCATGGGTTACACAATGTTTGGAGAAGAGGCAAAATCACAGTTTACCCTTAACATGGGAAATGATCTAGTTGTCTCAAAGATTGCTATCTGGACAACGGTATATGCTCATTTTATTCATAGCATTTTATGAATATTGTGCTTAGCCATGACAGTCCAACTGTTTGCCATAACATTTTGTGTTCCCCTTTTTTTTTTTTTGCAGGTAGTCAACCCGTTTACCAAATATCCTTTTAAAAGTCATAGTTCCTATTGACACAGTTAAGCAAAATACAGTTATTTATTCAACAAAAATGGAATGTTCTTCCTTAATCAGGGCCACATATGCATTAACCATGTCTCCGGTGGCAATGAGTCTGGAGGAGTTAATACCATCAAACCATATGAAATCTCACATATATGCCATATTAATTAGAACAGGACTCGTGATCTCAACCTTGTTCGTTGCCCTCACCATCCCCTTCTTCGGTAAGTCTCCTCTCTCATAACTTGTTTTAAGGGAGGGAAACTCGCTTTTTCGAGTTTGGCAATCACAACATATGTTCTCTGGCTGCAGGTCTCGTGCTATCGTTGGTCGGATCATTGCTCACAATGCTTGTGGTAAACTTCTCTTCCTCTATTGCTAGATCTTGAGTCATTAATGAGTGTACTTGCTGATCCTTGATTTGTATGGCAGACCTTGATACTTCCTTGTCTTTGTTTCTTGTGCATCTTGAGGAGGAAGGTTACCCGTCTTCAGGTATTCTCCTACTCATTTCATGCATTACATAGCATTAAATTTTACTTTCTTTCATTCAAAAAATAAAATTCTTTCCTTGTTTCTTTTGGTAGGTTGCACTTTGTGTCATAATTATTATGGTGGGAGTTGTTTCAGCAGTTATCGGATCCTTCAAGGCCATCTCCGAGATTATTGAAAATTTAAGAAGGGACAAGTCTCCTTGATTTTTGAACTACAAATTTCAAGAGATGGGAGTATTGAATTAGTATTATGCTGGTAAAAGTATACTTTCAAAACTCGCTATTTAGCTAGTTAACCCACAAAGCCATGCGAGTCCGCTTGATTATGTAAACTCAAGGATGAACAAGAGACTCTTCTTCTTATTTTCCAAATCTGAGTCAATTTGGTTTTCTTTTTTCTTTTTTTTCTTTTTTTTTTTCCCTGTTGAGAATGTTATGATGAGTGCATTGTATCCTAAATACTTGATTTCAATTCCAAATCTTTAGCTTTATCCTTTGTTTATCATACAAATCTCATCTTAAATGTATACTTTCTTACCAATCAACTTAATAATAAATCATAAAAATCAAAAAAGTTGAATGTTTCATCTCACTATATTATTTGTTTTGATATTAAAACCTTTTGAATCTCTATTACAATTTATATAGTTTTTACATTATAATAAAAATTTAATTAAATGAAGTTATTTTATAAGAAAATTTAATTTACTTATTCAAAATAAAGGTTTTAACTTATATATGAAAAATTTTAGAAAAAAAAATTATAAAAATTATAAACTTTTAATGGCTCAGGCATGGCTTTGATGGGACAACAATAAGTCATTAGTCCATTCATTCATACATAAAGCATTTATCTGTTCGTCCATTTATATATACACATAAGGTGTCTATCCATTCATATATCTAGATAGCAAATGGCGGACAAACAATTGTGGATTGATGGACCAATGAACGGACGTGTATATGAGCACAAACTAATAGATTTGTAGATAAATTTATGGATGGGGTGTGGACAAATATATATATATATATATATATAGGCGAAAAAACAGCTTAATAGATTGACATATGGATCTTTGGATATGAACGGGAAGCAGACGTGAATCTTTTAGATGGACGGGTAAAATTATGAACGTGGCCGAAGGACAACTCTTTATATGGACATACGTACAGTTGTGGAGCAAATAGACTAATTCCATAAATTTATGGAGGGAAGGAAGGATGGGTTTGTAAAACGATGGAATGTTGGATGAACAGATTTATAAACATGGATGGACAATTACTGATAAATTAATAGACGAATAAATTTATGGACATTTGTTGATAGATAGACAAATGAATTTGTCAACAAATTTTCGAACGAACGGATAAAATTATGGAGTGGATGAATAGATATTGATAAATTTATGGGTAAATAAATTTATGAATATTTATAGACAAATAAATGAATAAATTTATTGATGGATGAAAT